CTTCCTCCCTCACCTCATCCCCAAGCCTTGTTGATTCTGCTCTTCAACAGGCTCTCTTCTGGGCCCCTTTTTTTAGTTTCCATAACTACTGCCATCTGCATTTCCTTCCTGTGATTGCACTAGTATCCTAATTGGTTTCCCTGCCACCCACCCTTTATGGAATGCCAAAGTGATTTTTTTTTAAATGGAGTATCGCACTGTCACCCGGGCTAGAGTGCGGTAGCGCAATCTCAGCTCACTGCAACCTCCACCTCCTGGGTTCAAGCATTTCCCCTGCCTCAGCCTCCCAAGAAGCTGAGATTACAGATGCCTGTCACCATGCCCAGCTAATTTTTTGTATTTTTAGTAGAGACAGGGTTTCACTATGTTGGCCAGGCTGCTCTCAAACTCTTGACCTCGTGATCCGCCTGCCTCGGCCTCCTAAAAAGCTGGGATTACAGGCGTGAGCCACCATGCCCAGCCGAAGTGATCTTTCTCATACACACATCCAATCTTATCCTTCCCCCAGTTACTAGGACCTTAGTGCATCAAGTCCAGGCTCGCCAGAGTTTAGAGAAAAGCACTTAAAACCATCAGGACCGGGCTGTTTCTTTTCTGTCTGACATCCTCTACCCTTTTCACATCCTCACTTAACTGCCCAGCCATGCTGAGTCACTTAAGAGTTCTCTGCCACTCCCTTCATGCTGCTGTGTCTTTGCGTGTACCAGTCCTTTTGTCCCAAGAGTCCTTATTTCTTTTCTCTGTTGGTGAATTCCTACTATTCTTAGGGATTAGGTACACAGTCACCTTTCTTGTGAGATTCCCTGCTTTGCTTTAGGCAGAGGTCTTTTCCCCTAGAGTTTCTGGAACATATTTCTATTGTAGTGCTTAGTAATATGCATTCTGATTATTTCTTTACCAGTTTGTGTCTCTCAGATAATTATAAGCTTTTCTGAGGCAGGCAGGGCCTCTGTCTTTCTTTTTCATCTCTGAGTCTCCAGCACCTAGCACAAATAAACTCGGCATATCCAGGGTACTTGCTAAATTCTTGTTATGAAAGCTTGGCATGCAATTGTTATGTCATTAAAATAAGAAATAAATGAATGTCTGAAACTTATAGTGTTAAAAAAGTCACCATGACTTTCCTTCAACCAATCACTGTGGCAAGACAAATATAATACTCTGATTCATTTAAGCCAATTAGTGCCCACTCCACAAGTGTGGGAAAGGCTAACTCCACCAATCACGTGACTGACAATATGAAGGTGAGTGCCAATGAACATGCAAGATATCCAGAGGGGCCAGCATGCCACCTGAAAGTGGATCAGCACAACTTGGGAAACATGGTTTAGAGCCACACTGAACAAATCACTTGCTGCTCATTTGCTTCACCTAGGCCACGATCTCAAAGGAGTTCTCAGAACAGGTAGCCTCCTCTCACTATCCTTCCCTAGGCCATGACAGAAGAAAGCTCTGGATTAAGAATCTAAAGCTCCTGACTTCTGCTTTGGGCTCTGTGAAGACATTAAATCTTTCTGATCTTCAGTTTTCTCAACTATAAAATGTGCATAATGACTCCCGTCCTTCCCACACTGTCAAGAGGGTTAAATGAAATAATCAGTATGTAAGTTCTTTCAACAGTATCAAAAACATCTTGAAAGGACTATTTGTAACCGCATTCTCAGTGCTCACTTCCACACATTCCTTCTTTTGAGAGATTAACAAAATTAATCCAACACAACCCCCTGGTTTCCCTTTGTTCACCCCAATCTAGCCAGCCTTATCTTCTTTTTAGTTCCTCATATGTGCTATATCAATTATGATTCTTTTAGTTCAAGGAATAAAAATTCCCATCCCAAAGAGCTTCAATGACAGGACATTATACTTTCCCATAATAAGGCATCCATAGATAGAGTGGGTCCCAGGTAAAGAACGTCAGCCCCAAGCCTTCACCTCTTTTGGCTCTGACCTCCCCTAAGGGTTGCTCTCATCCTCAGCCTTGCTGCAAGATGGCTGTTGTGATTCCAGGAATCACAGGAAAAGAGGAACTGTTTCTTCATGTGTGTCTCTTATTTTAGGCTAGGAAACCTTTCCAAGAAAAATCCAGGTCTTACTGGATGCATGCCTACCTCTAAACCAAGCTCTTGCAAGTGGGGGATGAGATTCATGTGATTAGCTGAGACTGCTCAGGATTCACTCTTAAGCTAGGGATAGGGCTCTTTTCTACATGACTACATGGTATAAAATGATCAGAAAGTGATCGGGGTCAACAGCTAAAAGAGTGGGTGATTGGGTATTAAATAGGCAATCCACAGATGCTGTCAGCACCCCGCTCATATTCCCTGGCCCTGTAATTTGAGTGCCTATCACTGACTTCGACCACCTGCATCTGTATTTCTTTGCTTGTGAGCTCTTTGTGATATTTGGAATTTGCTACCTGCACAGTAGGCCAGAAATGTCAGAGGATTAATGTTTGTTCCCACCTTAGGAATGGGTCTTAATGACTGATGTGAGTATATATACACAGGGTGTATAAATGTCCCAATTCCCTCATCCCTAGGATGAAATATCTCTAATGTTTGCATCACACTGCTCTCAGAATTTCCCCAGCAGAATTAAGCTCCAGGTACCTATGGTGTAGTTACCTGGCCACTTTCCTTTGCAGACTCCTTCTTCTGTCTCACTTTTCCTCTCCACTATGGTGCTTCCTTCACCTCCTTTGACTTCCTACCTCAGAGCTGGCTTCTTGAAAAAACTAAATAAAGATGCTCTGCACCGTATGCCAAACTCCTTCCTGGATGCAGAGGCTTTGTGGATAACGTTCCCATCTGCTTAGAATGTGTTTCCTCTTTCTTCTCACCTGAGGCACTCTCATTCTCCCTTAGAGTCAGTGTAAATGTCACTTCTCTTAGAAAGCCTTCTTTGATCCCTCTCCGCCTGATGGCAGTCTCCCAATGCTTGATCTCTTATTCTGTACTTCTCTGTAACAAAGCTTATGATGGTTGCCATTTAATTAATTGTTGTGTAATTATTTTCATTCCATCTTTATACCCAACTAAACTGCTGTTTGAAGGCAAGGACTATGTTTTTGGCTCACCACGGTGTCACTGGCACCTAGTACAATGCCCGTCTTACTTGCAAGGTAGAGGGTTAAGGACTTACTGGCTTTTAAAAGATGAGCATTGTGAGTGACTAAAGATGTAGGTTTGAGGGTCATTCAAACAGACAAAATTATCAAAGCTTTGGACCAGAAAAAAAAAAAGACCTTTTGTCCATATGGATTCCCACATGGATCTACCTTTATTTCTTGTGACAAAATATAACATTTATACACAGGAGGGATGCCCATTGTTTAAGGGAGAATCTTCGCATGGCTCACATGTCTATAAAATATGCCATTCTAATCAACTTTAAATAGAAACAGGATTTTGTCTCAAATCCACAGTGTATTCATTCATTTAATACCTACTTACTGGACATAGCACCTGGCAAGATCCTAGAACTATCTGCCATCAACTCTTCAAAAGTCATTAGAGAACATACATTAATGGAGAATATTTCAGATTCTCTCTCTGCCTTCCCTCAACTGTATTTCAATATTGGGCTTTTGACTTTCATTAAAGGAATACAAAAATTTATCACTCTATTTGCTGGAAAAGGGTAACTGAGGACACTGTCTATTTTGTCTCTTAGTGCTCACTGGGAGAAATTTACTTTAGTGATAAGTGGCATGAAACAAGGTAAGCACAATGCTTGCCATCTCTTTGTCAGGTAGACTCTTCCTGACAAATCCTTAAACTTGACCCTTACCGTGACAGGAGATGAACCTAGGTTTTTTGAGTTTTAGACATATAATTTGGAATCTCTCTTTGAGAAAAAAGTAAAAAATAAAAACGTGACACAGAGCCTTGGAAGGGGCCCGCATGAGAGACAGGATCTGAAGTTTAAGCTTCATCATGAGCACCTGACCTTGATTCAGTCAGGGAAAGTGGTCTCTTCCAGCTCCATACCCCTCCACATTTGTTCTGACCCTATGAGTTACTCGTATTGCTTTCTTACTTGAAAGGCCCCTCCTCTTTCTTCTGCAGTCCCTAGACCATGTGCTTTTCAGAGTTTGGTCCCACAATGCCTTCTTTGACTCTACCCAGTAGAAAAAAGCTCTCTCTTCCTTGAAGGCCCACGACCTCATATAGAGAGCCCAGGGTATTTTGTAATGAATTGCTCTATCTGAAGTGCATATTACTATGCCTTCTCCAGTAAGATTATCCACTATCTGGGCACAGGGACTGTTTTTTTTTTTTTTTTTTTTTTTCATTTAGACTCACCACATTTCTGGGTACAATAGAAAGGGAAGGAAAAACGGAAAGGTGTTATAGAAGCAAAATGATGAAGTTTAGAGTCAGGAAGGCCTAGTAGGGTCCTAACACTGCCACTTATTAGGGTGGAGTCTTCATCAAACCCCTTAACCTCTCTGAGTCTCAGTTTTCCCACTGATAAAATGAATATAATAGTGATACTTATTTCACATTATTATTGGGAGAATTAAGAGCTTTTATTCATTCACTGAGCATCTATTTAGCCCCTGCCTTGGGCTATTTTTGGTAAGAGAGATGTGGAGTAAATGAATGAGAAATACTTTTTGCATGGGGGTTCTCACAGCTGAGTTAGAGATGGAAATTTATAATGGAACAGGATAAGGCTATAGCAAACACATGAACAGAGCATAGAGCCAGACACATACGTGCTCAATAATAGCTGCTGAATAAATGACTGACACAGTGGGGGAATTCAGACGAGAAAATTACAAACTTTTCAAAGTAAGAAATTGTACAGACTTGCAGAATCATCTCTACATAAACATGATGGATATGACACCAGCTGGGAAGTCGTAAAATGCTACATGTTAAAGAAAATACAATCAATAGGAAAAAGCAAGAATTAGATTAGGGGAGAGAGGGCAAAAGGGAAGGAAGAAAGGCCCTAAGGTGCCAAGGAAAAGGAAGGGATGTCTGTTGACCCACCTGGCCAAGTGTGCACTCCATGCCACCAAGAAAGTCGGCCTCCTTCAGCCCATTGTGGTTGCTGCTGATGTCATGGACTTCAAACCGCAGGCGCTGAACCTCCTCAAAGTAAAAGTCCACAGTAAACAGTTTTGAGTACACTGGGTTTATGCAGGTGCGAATCACCTCAGTCCTGTCAACCTGCAAGGAGAAAGAAAGAGATTAGAACTTTTTTTTATTATTACCCTTCAAGCAAATTCACCTCAGGCCACTTCTCTTCTTCCCAACCATAAATGCTCCCCACCAAGTCATCGGGTAGGCAGTCTGAAAGTACAAAGTACAGGCAATACCTTCAGAGAATGAGTTGAGTTTTAGGAAAGAAAATAATATAAGACATGTAAATAACTTGAAGATTTAGAGCTCAGTGTATGAGTTTGCATTATACAAAATTGTGTCATTATATCATTGTGTCATGTTGTTGATGAGAAAACTGAGGTCCAGGGAATTGAAATGAGTGGGTGAACATTATGCACAGTAAACATTTTTGAGTACACTGGGGTTTATGCAGGTGCATAAATGATTGATTGATGCATTTCATGATTGATTCAACCTTGCCCTGCCTAATGTGTCGGAGGTCACATCTGGGCTCAGGAGGAAAGAAATCTGTAATTGATTAGTGATGTCTGATGGGCACAGTAATGGAGAAACTGCTATGTAGGTGTCTCATTTTAGGCAACTCTACTCTCAGTTTCCTCACCCATGATTTCCAGCATAATGAAGTAGAAAAACCATGAGAATAGATAAGATGATAACTGCCTTTCATCTCAAGTATGCCCTTTATTAAGTATATAATGTTGACCTGTTCATTTCAATTCCCTGCGCTTCAGTTTTCTCATCAACAAAATGAAAGATTAAATTAGAGAAGAAAAAGTTCCTTTCTGCTCTAACATTCCATGAGCTATGATTCCCTTTGTCTTCTGTGATAATAGTTTTTCAGTTGTCCCCCTCTCTCAGATATTTATACATCTCTGACATTTTCTGCACTATTCTGTGACATGTGAAGCTGATGTCATAGACTGATATTCCTGGCACCCTTACACTCTGGGTTCTGGTTGGAGTCAGCCAAACGGAGGACTTGGCAGGAGATCAGAGAATGGGGGAACAGAGAGGTGCAGGCACGTCTCTACAAACACACATTGTGTTAGCAGACTTCCTTCTGCACAGGGAGCTTTTGCTGGGATTTGGTAACATAGTCCCTCTCTCTTGACCCTGCACATTGAGGGGTAGTAATGGCTTCCTGTTGTTGCTATCTCTGATGTCCCAGATGCCTCACTTTCTTTGTTGGCTCTTTTAACCCTGCCCATTTCCCTGTAAAGAGTTTAGCCCTTCAGGTTAAACTGTCTGGGTATGCCATCTGTTTTCTGCTAGGATCCTTATCACTAAGCTTCTTTTCCTATATACTTGTCACAAGTAAAAATATACAAAACAATTTATATTCTGTGAAGCCTTTCACGACGAAGTTATAGCTAACCCAAGATTCTATGGCTTCTCTGTACTGGAGATACTCATCCTTCCTATTTTACAAATCAGCTGGAGCCTCTACGTACTGTCAGCTTTCAAATAGAAACATGGTTTATTAGATGCTTTCTGATATTTGTTAGCACAAACTATGAAAAACATTTACCTCACTTTCATATGAGTAAAGGAAAACAGTCTCTCAATAAAGGGAGAGCGGTTCTTAACCATATTATGCGTGTCTATGTTGCCTAGCAAAAAAAATTTGATATTTGTTCTAGCCACCTGACATTCTTCATTTCAGTGCTTTGTCTCCAGCCCTAGCCCTTCCTATGCAGGGATATGTGTGAGAGAAAATTGTCCTTTAAGGAACACTGCCTGCTATTACCGGTTGTATGGAAAATATGGGTTGGAAGGAGAAGAGTGTCATTCTGATTATGTCTCCGTCCAATAAATACGTATACAGAAAAGCAATCTCCAACCCATTGCCGATTAAAATTTCACAAGTTATTGTTCAGACCAATGGTTATCTGACTGTTCCAGCTTCACAAAGAAGACCCAGCTTCTATTTGAGCTAAATTTTATATTCTTACGCAATGTTTATTCAGAGGGTGATGAGACTGATTATGCCACTGGCTGACTGTGCAGGTACAAGAATTTACTACATCAGCATAATTTTTTTCTGTTGTTCAGGGATAATAGTTTTCAATAACAGAAATTCAAGATCACAAACTGGCAGTCTGCAAGCGTAAGCTGACTTGAAGGTATTTTATTTGTCCTACTCAAAATATTTTTCCCTGCATTTTCCCACTTAATAAGGTGGCTGTTTTTATTACCCTTCTTTTAGAAAACAATTGGAATATCTGGCAACCTTGGGCCACATTTCTTCGTGGCAACAATTGGAGACCGTCCCATCCAGACAAAGCATTTACTCTTTCCTTCTCACAGCAACTTCCAGGCCCTTCTCCCTCATTGAACTTCTCTGCCTGGCCCCTAGAGGCATTTTTACAACATCGGGTCCAAATTCACGGAATAATGAACCATATGATAAGAGGTTTAATGATATTCATGTTGCATCTTTTGATAGAGGATTTGGAAATAACCCCCAAGAAGCATGTTGTGGGTGAATTTGACATCCTCAAGACACAGAAAGGGCACCTTCTCTCCGTGTTGGAAGAGAGTGCTGAGTAGGTTTAGATGATAGAAGACAGGTGATGGAAACTCTAGTCTTTGTTTTTCTCCTTTCACCACCCCAAAGAGCACAAATAAGTGATGTGCACCAAATCTGGTACTTTTCTTCCCACTTCTTGATTTTCCAATGGCATTCTCTTATAGATATAAAGTTCATGTTGGCATCAAGCCACACACCTCAGACACACTATATAAGGTAAGCTGCCAGCACTGAGTGACTTGGTTTTTTGAGGAAAATGACAAGATGGAAAGACATTAAGCGATAAACATTTGCATTAGCAAGACAGATAATTTCCAAGGATAATCAGAAAGCCAGTAAGAATCCTGAATATAACTGCTCAGGAAAATGATGATAAGGGAAGTGCTTGCAATAATAAATGCATATTCGAAAGATGTTTTAGAATATTTTGCATTTCCAGTTATTATGGAAGATGCATTATTTTTTCTGGTGGATAAATCCAGGTTTCACATGAGCAAGAGGGCCTAGGATTGTCTGTTTCTCATTGAGAGGCATTAGGGTCAAGGCAGTTGTTTCCAAAAGATCATTTGCTTACTGGTGGAATGATCAGCTGGATCCTAATCAACTGGGAGAACTTTCTTTAAAATTCAGATTCCTATTTCCTAACCCCAGGTGATTCTGATTTCGTGACTATAGGGTAGGGCCCAGATATCTCTACTTTTTAAAAAATGTTGTATACAATTTTCATCTAGGGGAAATGAGGAGATGTAGGGTCCAGCTTGTGCTCTTGTGTGAGGTCAAGTTTTATTTTAATCTTGCTTACCCTCTTTTATCCAGTCTGCAAAATGTGAATGCTTATCTTATCTCTTCCCCAGTTGTAATGACTGATATATTCACATTGCCTTATACTTTACAGAACATGCTCGAATCCATTTTTAAAATTTGATTCTTATAGCAATCATGTGATGTAGATGTATACTATTTTACAAATGAGAAAAGTCAAAGTTAAATATCGGCACAAGGTACTGAATGTCAGAGTGGACACTTGAACTCATGTCTCTGACCTAAAAGTCTGGACTGCTTTCCTCAATTCATGAGCATCCTTAGAAGGAAACAAAAAAGGCAGCTGGATTATGGTGTGATGGTGAGAGTCAATCATTGAATATAGCTTCTGATGAGAAGCTTTTAAAAAATATTATCTAAAACATTTTCAGCCTATCAATAAAGTCAGTAACAACCAACACTTTTGGAAGTCCTGCTGTATCGTGGTGCTCATTTTAAAAAACAGAACTATTGAGGCACAATTGGCATATAATAAACCACATCTATTTAAAATATGTAATTCAATATGTTCTGACGTGTATATTTGTGAAAACACCACCAGAGTCAAGACAGTGAGCCTATCTATGCACCCAAACTTTCCTCACACCCCTATGTGACCTCATCCTCTCAACCTTCCCTCCTTCCATTCCCAATAAACTACTGATCAGCTTTCTGAGACTATAGTCTAGTTTGTATTCTTCATAATATTATATAAATGTTTATTATACAATCTATGGTCTTGTCTTTATTCTTTCACATAATACAACTATTTTCAGATTTATTCATGTAGTCGTATCAAGGGTTTATCCTTTTTTTTTTTTTTTTGAGACGGAGTTTCACTCATGTTACCCAGGCTGGAGTGCCATGGCGCGATCTCAGCTCACCGCAACCTCCGCCTCCTGGGTTCAGGCAATTCTCCTGCCTCAGCCTCCTGAGTAGCTGGGATTACAGGCACGCACCACCATGCCCAGCTAATTTTTTGTATTTTTAGTAGAGACGGGGTTTCACCATGTTGACCAGGATGGTCTCGATCTCTTGACCTTGTGATCCACCCGCCTCGGCCTCCCAAAGTGTTGGGATTACAGGCTTGAGCCACCACGCCCGGCTAAGGGTTTATCCTTTTATTGCCCCCAGTCAATTACTGATGGACATTTGAATTGCTTACAGTTTTGGGCTATTACATATAAAACTGCATGATATATTCATGTACAAGCCCTTGTATGGGAATGTATTTCCTCTTCTTTGGGGTAAATACATAGGAGTGAAAGAGAATTTTGTTTAACTTTTTAAGTTCTAGTAGGTGTGGTCTCTCATTGTGGTTTTCATTTTCATTTTCCTAAAACTAATGATGCTGAGGCTCTTTTTGTACGCTTACTTGCCACCTGTGTATCTTCTTTGATGAAGTAGCTTTTCAAATCTTTTGACAAGCACTCTCTTTTCATTCTTATGATAACACTATGAGGTAGGGACTGTTATTATTCCCTCTTACTGGGAGATACAGAGACCCCCATAACTTTTCCAATTTTACACAACTTGTAGGGAGCAGAGGTGGGATGTGAACCTATGTAGTTAAGCTCCAGAGTCTGTGTGTTTTACCTCTATGCTACATAGTTATGTAAATTTGAAGCATTTTTTTTCATAAATCCTGTTGCTGAAAGTAATGCATCAGCCAGACACCCAACATAAAATGTGGAACCAATAGGGAAAGTCAATG